GGATCTGGAGTACCTGCTCCTCAGTTGTGGCCACTGCTCCAGTTTTAGTGTCGTCTGCGAATTTGATCAGCAGACTGTTCACCCCTTCTTCCATGTCGTTAATGAAAAGATTAAGCAGGATCAGCCCCAAGACAGAGCCCCAGGGGACCCCACTTGTCACTGGCCGCCATCCCGACGATTCCCCACTAATGGTTACCTTCTGCTTTCGGTCAGTGAATCCACGAGACAGTGCTTTGGTGTATCCCAAAACTCCTCAGTTTCTCCACCAGGATCTCCATCATGGGGCACTTTGTCAAAGGCCTTGCTGAAATCCAGGTAAACCATGATCCACTGCATCCCCTCTGTCTAGCCACCTCGAAACCTTGTCGTAGAATTCCACAAGGTTTGTCTGGCAGGACCTGTTTTTGCGGAAGCCGTGTTGTGTGGCTGTAAGCCTCCCTTCCCTGTCTAGCATCGCTAGATCTCTCTCTATTATGAGCCTTTCCATTGTTTTTCCTAAAATGGACGTAAGGCTAACCAGTCTATAATTCCCCATGTCCCTTCTACTACCCTTTTTGAAAATTGGGACCACTGATGCCACCCTCCAGTCCTCTGGAACCTCACCCATTCTCCATGAGGCCTCAAAAATGGAGGAACTTAGGTGTAACTCATTAGGGTCTGATGCCTTTTTAATGTCCAGTGCCGAGGAGCTCCTCAAATTCTGGGGGGGTGACTAATCTGTGCCCCTAAATCCCTGGCCTTATCTACTCTCCTATGTGGATCTCCCCTTTCCTGCTTTGGGGAGAACACAGGGGCAAAATAGACATTTAGCTTCTGTATCTGTTCCCTCACATCACTGAATCCCCTTCTTATTAAGTGGTCCCACTGCCTGTCTCCCCTTCCTCTTGCTATTTACCTGTTGATAGAAGCCCTCATAATCAGCCTTAGCCTTGCGAAGAATCCTCCTGCAACGGGCCTCCTCCTCCCGGTATACCCTTTTGTCTATTTCCCCCAGTCCCCATTTCCTACGGAGGTTCCTCTTTCATCTAATCCCTCTAACCACCTCCTTTCGCATCCATAGTGGTGCTCTCCTCCACCTCCCCACCTTACTAGCTAAAGGAGCGCTTGCGTCCATATATGCCCTCCCGCCCCCTGAGATCGGCGGGGGAGGCCCTTCTCCGGGAGCCCTCTGTGAAGGATATTGGGAGGGTGAGGACCCAGAGGAGGGCCTTCTCTGCGGTGGCGCCCCACCTGTGGAATGCGCTCCCCAGAGAGGTCCGCCTGGCGCTGTCGTTATTTGTTTTTCGGCACCAGACCAAGACCTTTTTATTTAAAAGTTATTTTAATTGCTAATCTGTGTTTTATTTAATAGTTTTATATTATCGCCGAGAACTCCAAATTTTTAATATTGTTCTATGCTTTATTTGTTTTCCTTGTGACCCACCCCGAGGCTTCGGCGATGGGTGCGGCATAGAAATGTTAAAAATAAATAATCAAAATAAATAGAGGTATCGTCAAGGCTTGCGCCTCCAAAACCTCCCTTTTGAGTGCCATCCACCCCTGCTCAACTCGCTTACCTTCCAGTAACCTATCCCAGGAGACTTTCCCCAGTCTGGCCTTCCGTTAGCCAAAGTTGGCCCTCTTGAAGTCCCAGCTTCTAGTGCTCAACCTGCTGCATATCCCCAGTCCCCTGATCTCAAAGCAAAGGATGGCGTGATCACTCGCATCCAGAGCTCCCCTAATCTGTACTTCACCTATCAGCTCCTCCCTGTTGGTCAAGACCAAGCCAAGAATATTCCCCCCCCCCCC